ATGAATTTTATTTTGAGAATTGCAGTTATTATACGAATGTGTACTTGGTGAGCAAATAGAGGCGTATGTGTTAAGGTGAGACAATATGTGAAGCTGCAACTGTGACGTGTGAATTTGATGATATATGTGTTTGTAAATGGTATTATGACGTGTGAATTTGATGATATTATGTGTTTGTAAATTGTATTATCGGCCCATACTTGCAAGATATATGGGCTTGATTTTGGAATAGAAAGCTATCTTATTGGGATTGTTATTTGATTGGGCTGCACCACTCACTTGAAGTTGAAAATGTGCTTGTTTTCCCTCAAGTTCTCTGAACTATAAAGAACAAAAGGCTAGTATAAGAAACAAGCTGCATTTGTTTTTGTGTCATTAGTTCTTAGTCTACATCAGTTGTGAATATTTTTTTAAAGAGTTATTAAGAAGTTATTATGAACTAGAGGGAGTATTTAACTAACACAGTTATTTTTGAGACAATCTAATCTTTAGACGGACAAATCCATCATATTTTTTTAACAATATTGTATAATTGTGCTATGAAATATCGTACTTTTGTTTACGTTGTTTTTTATGATAATTTATTATTGAAGTATGTGTATATGTAGTGAAAAAGTATGGTTCTCTAACAATTATGATTGTGTAATAGCAGTCTTATTGCCTTACTGTTTAACTATACACTAGTACGAATCTCGTGCGATGCACGTGTAAGAGATATTCATTAATATTTGTAAATTAAAATTGCTCATTAAATAATTATTATATATTAAAAATATTGAATCAACATGTAATATCATTTAACTATATTAATTTATTGAAAATGCTTTATAAAATTTAAATTGTGCAAAATTACATAAAACATGACTATTTAAAATTAGTACACAATTCATACGGTGCCCACATATCTGAGAATAAATTATATTATATTTACTTAAAAATAAGTATCATTTTAAAATTGTTATTCAGAAAATCTATTTGACTACAATATAATTCAATAAAATAATTATTTTGATTAAATTTTATCGTATATTTAAAAATCTACCGGAATAATAAGTATAATTATAAAACTTATATTGTTTCATTAATTAAAATGAATTTATTTTTGTATAAGCTATCCAAATCAAAAAATTTAAGTAGTTCAGAAATTTATTAAACTATAAATAATTGACTATTCCATTTAAGTAAAAGTTAATAGTGATCCATAACTTATGAATAATTACTTATTTTACTTTTAAATTTGAAACTCAAATGTGGACTACACAGTTTTTTTCTTTT